CCCACCCAGCGACAGTCACCAGCACCACCTCTCCACCCAGCGACATTTGCCAACCCCATCTCCCCAACCAGCGAGATACACCAGCCCCACCTTCACACCCAGCGACAGTCATCAGCACAAAAACCCCACCCAGCGACAGTCACTAGCACCACCTCACCACCCAGCGACAGACACTAGAACCACCTCTCCACCGAGCGAAAATCACCAGCACCCCCTCCACCCAGCCAAAGTCCCCAGCCCCACCTTCACACCCAGCGACAGGCACCAGCACAACAACCCCACCCAGCGACAGTCATCAACCCCACCTCCCCACCCAGCGACAGTCACTAGCACCACCCCCCCACCCAGCGACAGTCACCAGCACTACCTCTCCACCAAGCGACAGTCACCAGCACCCCCCTCCATCCAGCGAAAGTCACCAGCACCACCTCTCCACCCAGCGACAGTTACCAATCCCATCTCCCCAACCAGCGAGATAAACCAGCCCCACCTTCACACCCAGCGACAGCCACCAGCACAACAACCCCACCCAGCGACAGTCACCAGCACAACGACCCCACCCAGCGACAGTCATCAGCCCCACCTCCCCACCCAGCGACAGTCCCCAGCACCACCTCTCCATCCAGCGACAGTTACCAATCCCATCTCCCCAACCAGCGAGATACACCAGCCCCACCTTCACACCCACCAAGCGACAGTCAACAGCACCACCTCTCCACCCAGCGACAGTCACCAGTACCACCTCCACCCAGCGAAAGTCACCAGCCCCCCCTTCACACCCAGCGACAGTCACCAGCACAACAATCCCACCCAGCGACAGTCATCAGCCCCACCTCCCCACCCAGCGACAGTCCCCAGCCCCCCCTCCACCCAGCGAAAGTCACCAGCCCCCCCTTCACACCCAGCGACAGTCCCCAGCACAACAACCCCACCCAGCGACAGTCACCAGCCCTCCCTCCCCCCCAAGCGACAGTCACCAGCACCCCCCTCCATCCAGCGAAAGTCACCAGCACCACCTCTCCACCCAGCGACAGTTACCAATCCCATCTCCCCAACCAGCGAGATACCCCAGCCCCACCTTCACACCCAGCGACAGTCCCCAGCACCACCCCCACCCAGCGAAAGTCACCAGCACCACCTCCCCACCCAGCGACAGTCACTAGAACCACCTCTCCACCGAGCGACAATCACCAGCACCCCCTCCACCCAGCGAAAGTCACCAGCCCCACCTTCACACCCAGCGACAGTCACCAGCACAACA